CTCGCCGACACCGTCCAGTAAAAATTTCACCGTAGCGAGCGATAGACAAAATATGATGATCAATTTCCTGAACCAGTAATGACAAAACCATTGCTATAAGCAGGCCAAAAAAATATATAAAACTGTGCTGCCAGTTTACTGCAAACTACTGGAAGAAAGAAAGTAATCTTCAGCTGTTTTTAGAGAGATACTCCGAAATCGACATTCCCAAGCCCCTTGCTTCTTGTTAAAACAGAGAATACGGAATCCTTCCTTTTTAGCTAATAAAGATAAAGATGGCTAAATGATCACCACGTTCCAAAGAATAAAAAACCACGTGTAAAAAGGTTTCAATTACAAAACTGCGGAAAGGAGCTTTAAGCTTTTGGGGAGCAATGGTACATCGCAAATCGCAGACATCTGAACATTATGACGCCGTTGGCCTCTTACCATGTATCGCAGTTTATCGAGAAGAATTCCGTCTTTCAGTTTTACATGAAATTTTCTAACTCACTGTGAACTCTATCAGAAGAGATAAAAACCATTAGAATCTACTGACATATGCGAATATTGTGCAAATTTCCTTATTCTACCAAAATTAGATTGTAACTTCTTAAACTGTTTTCTTCGTTAAGAACCATATTTTGAGCCACGCCTAGTTTAGGAACGATAAAAATTAGAATTCTGCTTTCGATATTCTGAGACCTAAAATTTTAGACAAATTTCGAAGAAATGGTGTCATCGAAAAAGCGTAGCAGTAAGTCAAAGATTATGTTGCAACTATCTCATGCTATTCTCAAAGAACACCCAGTTGCTCAATTACACTGATATCTATAGATATGAAACACGTTATCACTATCGAAAATTTACCATCATCCACCACCTTGTCAGTTATCAGCTATTCACTTAGTACGCTATCAATTGTCGGTGGAGTACCAGTTAAGAATCAAATTAAGAATCATGCCCTATGTCTGTCATTATCGTCCAAAAGATCTCTTACAGTCGTGCAGTACAATGTGTCGACTAGTGATAAAGAGCAATTGTTATCGACGATCCGATCTTCTTAAACTCTCATCACAATCGATTCTTTTACCTGTTGAAATAACAGAAGCACAAAAAGAGGAATTGAAACGTATTCAACGACTACTCCTCCTTCCAAAGAAGAAAAATCACGGATGACATTCAGTTTTATACTGAGGCGATATTTGAAAAACCTCTGTAGTGCATTCGAGAATCCACCAGTGCACACTGAACAGTTTAACAAGTGACAGAAAAACAGTTTCACTAATGCATACAGCTGGAACGCAAATTCCATGACAAATTCAGCATTCAGTATGCATGAGGTGAAAATATTGGAAAGTAAAGCATAGATATTGAAAACATACACTTTATCATAATCATGACAAAACTGTGTGAAGGAGGTCACTGAAAAAACTCCATGATCAGTGCAGAATAGTCGAGCAGCGTTATGAGAACTGCAGTACACCACTCTCTTCAAGAACTGACTTCACCATCCAAAATTATGACAATGCTGAACAGATCCACTTCTACTTGGCATGTCTTGCATACGTTCTACAATAAAAAAGAGAACTCTTGGCGTTGATCATTCCCTAAGGGATGGGCCATGCATTCGCCTTATTTGATTCGTTGGAGCTGATTGAATGCATATCTGGCCTTTGCAATGACTCGCGGTGGCCTGCCGATTTATCGAGCCACTGCTGCTATCCTCCCAGACAAAGTGTGGTAGCCATTTGTCGATACCGGAGGAATGGAAAGTATGGTGGGCCATGGGTGCTTGGAACGATCCCGTGTGTGTTGCAGTGGCTCCTCTAACCACTGTGCCACACTCGTCCTGCGTTCTACAGTAGGCACTAAAAATCCCAAGTGATCGAATACTAACTTCAAAATTGGTGAAAAATGTTGAAATGGCTTCGAATTATTAACCATTTTTTTTGTTTCTGCCAACCGAGAAAGTGAGACGTTAAGGAAAATACTCATTTCGTTGTATAGCTTACAGCACAATGAAGTAAATTAGTGACAAAATTTAGAAAGGAACTTCTTTGTTCGACAAAACGAACACGAAACTTGGGCGATGACAGCAACAATTGAATTGGGATCTCACAAGAGTCAATGAAAGACCCTAACTCTTGGAGTGTCGCCGGTAAATGAGGAAAGACCTATACGAGAACGATATTAACACTTCGAGAATGACTCAAGTAAATTTGTACTCTTTTGAGAAGGATCAGTCTGTGTGTGTCCAAATCAGCATGACATATTTGGAGTCGGTTACTTCACCGTACGGACGTTTTCTGCCGTTCCTTTTGTATTCATTCGAGAACTTATTATCGACGATTTAAGCAGATCGTTATGCTGGGCATCAGCTCTGAAATACTACCCTATACGCAAGAGCGGTCTATGTACCGATATCATATTGGTTTTGTGGAAAAATTAAGAGTTAATTATATGCGATTGACATACAAATTTAGATTCTAAGTGCTAAGGAAATTTATACGATGGAGGATTGTTGTTTACGATCGAAATATCACTTAATCAGGCAGACCTCTTACCTCATGAACAGCTTAGTTTGAGTTGGACCAACCACCGTTTCATTTCAGTCGATGGATTCCCCCATTTTTCAACAAAACAGTCATTGTTATCATCACGATTCTTTGATGCGTAATTGATTCAACGGCTTATTTTTATTTATAATGTGATACTCCTTAGAAGTGCAATAAATTTTATTTTGCGTTTTTTTTTTTGGGTCACGTGTAGCACAGTGGTTAAGCTCAATGCAATCCAGAGGTGACCTTTGGCTCGATTACACCTGCTGTGTTATAGTCAAAAACGGATAAACGTATTTCACCGAGTGGCCCCATCACTGCTATTCTCAGTAGCGTTCGTACTGAGCAGGAAATGGCCTTCAGTCCATAAATGGTTTCAAAGACCACGGTTTTGATTTATTATGTTCCAGCTGATATAATTCCGACCGGTGCAGGATTGATTGTCTCCGTGAAAACAAATTATTATCAGCATTAAATCTGTTTATTCCATAAATCATGTTGTACAAAAAGGGTGCTGGAAAGTGAAGCTACTTCGTTTTACTTTTTATTTTCTGCCTACTACAATTTCATGACAGTGTACTAAGCGAAAAAACTCTGGACCACAGGTGTCCAAGGTGGAGAAGGAATGCGCTATTGTCCTTTCCGGGGAGTAACGTGTTTACCGCAACCATTCACCACCATCGCATGGTGTGGTGGTGAACGCATTACACCCCGGAAAGGATTACAGCGCGTTCGTTTTCCACCTTAGACACCTGTGGTTCAGGAATAGTGTTGTACTGGGTTCAACTCGGTGCGATCACGAAGACTCACATTAGAAGAGGGAACGAAACGACTGTGGACCATGAATAGGATCGATTTGGCTCCGAAGTAAGCTAGGGCGCCGAAAAGTTAGCCACAGCAGGTTTTTGTAATAACTTCGTGATAGGTTGTCAATACAACGAAATATTAAATATCCATTGCAAAGATAAAGCGCAAGTTATTATCGATTGAATTTCAGTGAGTAACTGCCCGCTACAAAAATTCCACTTGCAGATTAGGCTAATTCATTGGTGCCGTGTTCCCATGCAGTGGATTCGACTCGATCCGACTATTCCATGAATTCACATCAGTTCTGAGGAAGGCGAAGGTGCCGAAAAGTTAGCCACAGTGAAATCTTGTAACAATCTCGTGTTAGCTTGTCAACATAACAATATGTTGATCATTCAATGTTTTAGTGCTTAGAAGTTCGTTTTAGGATTAAATTTCATTTAGAAGAACTGAGTATTACACCTTGGCTAGAAAGGCAAGCCTAGGATTTAATTCATGGCACTACATTTCTACTTCCGTTCTGCTGAAGAAGTTTTTATAGTAATACGTTAGGAGTAGAAACGATTTGAATGTGTACACAGGAGGTGTTAGCTTTTCGTTTTCATAAATTTTAAGAAGGTGCCACCCACATTACTACGTTCCGATATTAAACGTGCAGTGGAATGTGGAACCATTTTCTGTGAAAGTGATAACTTTTTAGTTTCAGATTGAGGAACTGGTTGTGAAGTCTACATTTAGCAAATCAAAGTCAGAATTCGTAAGGTGTTAGTACGTTAGACAGTGGCTTAATGTTACACTAACTAGCAAAGCTAGACGTGTATCATAGAAATTTCTTTTTCCTCTAGAAATCTCCCAACTTATACTGGAAAGAAGTCACAGAAACCGTATCATGAAAAAGAACAAGGTGTGCCTGGAAATAATCGAACCGAAGCTTGTATCATGAATTTTATGTGTAGTATGCTACTAATTTTTTCTGTTATTCTTAACTCAGTGGTTTCGCTTCAGTCTTCTCCTATTTTGTAAGATTTCTGATAGGCAACATATTCGGGATGGTTTCAAAACAGGGTTGGCCTTGCCGTTTCTGCTTTTGTTACATGAACTATCCGTGAAAAATTACTAGTTCGCCTCACTAAAAAGATTCTGAACAATTAAGAATCATTCTTTTTTAACACTAGAAGTAAAATTGTATTTGTGCACTTTAAATGCTCCTTAGAGGAGAGGAGGGCTTTAACTACTCAAGGTTGAAAATCGGTCCTGATCTAACCCGCAACAAAGGCAGTACTAATGGTTTTTTAGGATCCTCGAACGACATCGGCAGGAACAATGTGTGATTAAATCGCATTTGATGTGATGAGCACTAATCAATTCATACTAGTACAAGTACAGTTCCCTGAACCAACTCTATAATTTGGTAACGGTAAGTGCTTTTAATAGATTAGGAGTTGATTTGGCTTACAAGCATTTCTGCATTTTGTTGAGACAGAAAATATGAAACCTAGATCGTTTCTAGGACTTCGCCAATCGAGAATTCCAGAAAATTTGCGTTATTTAGACTAGGACACAACAACAAAAATAATTATATTTGACAGAATAACACCAAATTCATTCCATGAGAAACGAACTATTAATTAAAATCAATCACTACATTGTAATCTAGTAACCAGGCGGTGTACGAGGGAGAGGACAGTGATCACATGACCCTTTAAGACCGTCTTGCCCTGGTTCTCCGGGTTCACCATCTTCACCATCTTTTCCTGGTTCACCATCCGCACCATTATCTCCCATTGGTCCCATCATTCCAGGCATTCCATCGTGACCGCGATTTCCATCAGGGCCAGGTGGTCCTTGTGGTCCACGCTCTCCCTCTGATCCAGGAGTTCCGGGTGGAGATGGAAGCATTCGCACAGCACCGCGCATGCCAGGTAAGCCTTGCTTACCACTTTCACCAGCTCTTCCTGGTGGACCCGGTGGACCACGAGGTCCTCGGTTCCCTGGAGATCCTCTGCTACCAATCTGAAAATGCATATTTGAGTGGAGCACAAATCAATTGTGCAAGTGAAATCTAACCTCTCCAATCGATCCTGGTGGACCGATAGGGCCCATTTGTCCAGGAATACCTGGCATTCCAGGAGGTGATGGAAGACAATCGAAGCAAAAATCGGCAGCAGTCGGGAGCGTAGTCTCGCTCGGCGCGTCAGCTCCAGGTGCACCAGGCTGCCCAGGACGGCCATCTTGGCCTGGATCACCTTCTTCCCCAGGAGGTCCTACGGGCCCTGGAGAGCCGATGCCGCAAGAACAGCATAGCTCTGGTAGTTGCACTGCTTCTTGACGCTTTTCACGATGCGAGCGTGTAGATGACAGCTAAATGAGAAATTAGAAGAGACGGAAAAATCTCGTCGAAACGCTAATAAATTGGATTTGCCTTAAAATTTTTTCCACAATGCATCGCTCGCAAGAGAGGCCAAAAAGGTCCAAATTACATGTGCTTTGCGTAAAATAATTTGTTTGGACTGTAAGAGCAATGAAACATGAAAATGGTGTAATTTGGAGAGTGCATGAGTAAGAAAACGGGAAGAGGTGTTGAAAAAAGGTCTCCTAATCCATAAATCCTTTAAGAGTTTGCTACTTAGTCATCTTTCTTCACTGTGTTGCAAGACGTACTTGTTTATCAATCAGAACAGTTGTTGTATACAGTGGAAGTAAATCATTTACGTGAAGAAGGTACTAATAGTTACTGTGTGGTTGTTCTTTGATTCCCACTGTAAATAATTTGTTTTTCTCCAGACAATCACCAACATTTCTCGATTTTTAGTTACTGTTCAAGTCATACTATTTCACTAAAGGATATACTTCTAACTGTTATTTAAAGAATAACACCTTTTGTGACGTCGGCTAGAAAGATTATGTGCTTCTTACTTTAGTGTATTCTCCTCTAAGTCCATTGGCTTTTGTTCGGCAGTAAAGCAGCTCATCCTGAACTTCAGAATTGACGTTCTGCATGTAAATGCATAGCATAGGAATAGCAATAATGGCAGTAAAAAAGGCGATAGTAGAAATTGTGATGGCGACGAATGTGAATCGTTTTAGATTCTCGGCCGCCACCACCACATTTTGCTTCTCGCCCATGTCGAATAGAAGAATAGACCGGTCACACGCTTTTATATCACTGAAGTGTAACCATCAACATTTCATCGTTGCAATGAAGATGACCGCTAAAAAGATCGTAGCAGTGGAACATTTTTCCACGCCTATTTTCGATATTCGGTTCTGTTTAGATGATATGGCAATGGTAGATACAGTGCACAGAGTCGCTGAGGTGGTCCATACTTTTTGTCGAAAAGCTTTTCGAAAAGCACCATCATAACCATTTTTAGTGAAAAAGCATCATAGCATAAGGTTGCATCTTTTTTAAGAATAACGTCGTTTTCCAGGTTTTTGCTTGTCAACTGTCTACCCACCTGTTGAATCAGATCGCCCTTGTGCCCACATAGCTACGGTTTTCTTCCGTTCTCTGATTCCCGGCAATTAATCGACTTTCAATTCATCATTGCTTTTTCGCGCAATCGTTACGGGAACTCCTAGAATAGGTTTTTTAGGATGGGATGGAATGTTGCAGTGTGAACCATAAGCAGCACAACGCAATCCCATCGGGACTCAACAGTCACGCTGCTGATGCTGGCGGTACCGTACGAAGAAATTTGTTTTTGACTTAAGAAAAGTAAGTTGCTGATTTGCTGAGCTTTTGACCAATGCTGTTTGCTCAGAACTGCTTAGTGAGGATAAGTCATCGCTAACCAGTGCTCACCAAGGCTTAATCCTGCAAAAATTTAACTGTTCTTATTAGGACAATGTTCCTATTTTTCCATTTTGTGCTACCTTTTGCAAATATTCAAAACCTTTCTGATCGTACCTATTCAGAGGTGCAAACTCACTTCAATACAGTTGTTTGTTATAGCCATCAAATATCAGTGTTTGTGCATACTAATGAAATTAGAGCGTAAAAGGAAGGCAGTACCCTCTACTTGGTATGCAAGCGGTTATTTACAGAATTTTGTTAGTAGAAGGAACAGCTAAATTTGAAAGATTAGGTAAGCCAGTATAATTTGTTTAGTCTCACCCAGTTTAAGAAATTTCGCTTGATACGTGTTGTTTTTGAAGCATTCGAGGAACACTTTCTAAACACAAATGTAAGCACTGGTAGGAATTTGAGCGCTCCGCAATGCTAGTGCATTAATGCATTTCAATTTCCTACTCTTCATCTCCAACCCATGAAGAGTGTGATGTTGAAAAATGTAGAGAAAGTGTCTCTCTTAATTGACAAAAATACTACCAAAAAGGCGAAGCAAACCATTGTACTACAGACATCCTTAGTGTAAAGCACGCAACTTTCCCTCTTTATTTGATTGGTGAAAGTTCTATATATGTGTGCATGTTATCTAAAGCAGGGTTAGCAGCACATTTAAGACTAACCCATATAGACCAACTGGTTGTGGTAAAAGGTGCTACAGGATTCATCACATTCATTTCCCATCTACAGGAAACTAAACGAAACGCTATGTAAAAATTCCACTGTGTTAAATAAGTCGCTGTCTTGGAAAAATCTTAGATTGAGTTCAATCAAAAAGATAGTGTGAGAAGTGAAAAACAAAGAGCTTACCAGACAATACGCTTAGAACATACGCCTCATAAAATTTTGACCTACAGAACCTTGTTGTTTTCTCACCATCGCAAACGTAGATAAATTTCTTCGACGAAATACTTAGAACGACCAACTTGATACCTTGAGGCCTTTGTTTCGCAAATTAATGCCTTTCCTCCATAACAAAGGTCAAGAAAACACTGAGCTTAAGACCCTCATCTATAAGGTGGTTTTAGCAAACATATGTGGGAGTCGTGCAATCGAAAATGGGTGCCGCGACTGTGAGTGAATCCCTTGAAAAATGACTCCTAGTTGATAGTTTCTACAAGAAATTTATCAGATGATCTTAGACCAGAGCTGGAGAAACAGCTGGAGATACTCGAGGAACTACTGAAGAACTTAAGAAGCATTGAAACAGACTTGGACATTGCTAATGTTGGATAAAAGCACAGTAATTATGGATAAATCTTCATTCAAAAAGATTATTATTACTATTATTACTATCACTATTAATATCATTATTATTTGTTTTGTTATGGTCACGACGCGTTTGCCGCACTGGTTAGACGTGACCTACAATAAAAATGGGATCATCAGCTCGATCCTGCGTCCCGAGCTCACTAATCCTTAGTCACACCAGGGAAGACAACTCTGTAACAGAGTCTACTGGGGAGTTAGCAGTATTGACGTGATACGTCGGTAGACCATCAGAAGTTGCAGCAACTTTTTGTGGAAATTAGGTCTCCGAGTCAGTTTGTGATACCTATTAATCACTACCTTCAAGTAAAATGATCGACTTCATAGGAAGTTGCTACGCAAGGCTTTTCGATGCTGTCATTGAGCAATATTTCAAACTATTAAGCCGATTACAACAGTAACAATGCATAAATAACGATATCCGAACATCGGAACAATGCAGCTTCAATGTGATAACACGATCAACAAGTGACGGTAAGGCCAATTAATAGTTTTGCTGCAAGCTGGTGGAGTAATGGGATGTGCATGTACGATGTAAGAATATACATTAATGCAGGTACAAGAGGTAGGCACATCAGATTCATGTGAGGCCGTAACACCTGACTTACAATGGCAATGCGATAGGGTTCTACACCATATGTAGGCTTGTGATAAGGTTCTAGTGAGTTAACATATCAAGGAGCAGATGCAAGCTTGTGATAACATGGTGATGAGGTTATTGTATGAGGGAATGTATGTCAGCTTGGAAAAACTTTAACTCATACCCACCGCACAATGGGGTTAATGTGTTTAGAGGGACATGGATAAGAATAAAGTTAATCTACAGTAGTGACTACGTGCAATAAAGGTTAACACCTTGGATCTATGACGTAACGCAAACAGGAACACTTTGGTCGTATTTTTGTTGAGCAAACGCGAGGTGTTATTATTCTTTGTTCACGATTAAGCTGACGTTTCGGCGGATTTCGCCTTCCTCAGAGCCGCTCCCTATGAGGTTTCCACTAAGTATTTCCCTTTCACCTCGGGATGACTAATCAAGTATTTCCACTAAATACTTAGTGGAAACCTCATAGGAAGGGGCTCTGAGGAATGCGAAATCCGCCGAAACGTCAGCTTAATCGTGAACAAAGAATAATAACACCTCGCGTTTGCTCAACAAAAATACGAACAAAATCGCTTGATCAATGCCGAGGTTAATAGAAAGTCGGTCGTGGCAGTTACAATGTTTTGGTACATGCTCAGAACTTTACCCGAAAACGTTCTTCGACTGTTGCTTGGAAATCTCTCATGACCCTATCAGAAAAGGGAATGCGACTTTCCCAAACAACTTTTACCATTCGTTTTACAGTACACGTAAAGGCTTTGAACAGAAAAAACACACAAAAGCTCCGATTACGCAAAGAAGTTTGCACAACAAGGATTATTTGCTGCAAGCAAAGTTTCTCGGATTGAGATGATGACATTTACATACTCCAAGGTTGCAATGTGATATGAGAAACAGTGAATGTGGTCTTAATACAGGAGCATGCCATAAAATGAGGGAATAGTAACTATTTGGGGAACAGCTGCGATGCATATATGAAAAAGAACGTGCAGTTAGTAAAAGTTAAGACAATGTGATCTACGTTATTATCATTTCCATTATTTCGAAAACCGAGTTGCCTTTCACCTCGGGATGACTAATCAATACGTATTCTTTCACTGATAAGCCAGCACAGTATTATGGCATTGGTATAATTGATGTCTTTTTGAAACTGGTTGTTGGACATCACTTAACCACTGTTCCCATTACGTTGTATTTCACTGCGCCAGACTCAAAGTGGAGTTTGAGAACAGTAGTGCTAAGTTTTGATCTTGACCAATTCTGTATGTTGAAAGTGTGTACGTGTTTACAATACATTATATATATATATATATATATATATATATGCGATGATCTTGTCAAAATATGGTTGTTAAAAACTGTTTAAATTAAAAGGTTGTAAAGTCGTATTTCGTACTACTTTTCTTTCTTATACGGTGAGTGTGGCGCAGTGGTTGGAGGAGCCACTGCGACACACACGTGGAATCGATCCCTGCGCCAATGGCCCACTAAGCTTTCCATCTCTTCGGGGTCGGCGAATTGGCACGAGACTTATCTGGGAGGATAGCAACACTGGCTTGATACATCGGTAGACCAGTAGGCCACCACGAGTCACGAGTAAAGACCAGTAGTGTATTCAATCAGCTTCAACGGCACTTAATGAAATCAAATGCATGGCGCATCCCTTAGGGATTGATCAACGCCAAGAGCTTTATTCTTTATTTTTTTAAGACTTATTTTTATATTAATGTTATGGTTGAATGATCTGTTTCAAGTAGTGAATAACAAGCATATAATTTCTCACAGGGTTGACGCCAAGCATTCTTCTACAACGCTCCTTTACTGTGAATGATGTTCAGATTTAGGTTATTATGCCTTCTTACTGGGTCTGTATTTCATCGAGAGCATATGAAGAGTATTTAAATGTAGTCGGGATTTTCTGAAGGCTTTTCGTCACTCATCTGAAACTTTAATACCACGAAATAGCAATTATTGCTCAGGTTTTTGCTGATAAGGTATTGTCGCTTCCATTGAGGATATTAACGTTTCCAAAATTTTATAGGAAGTCTTTAGTTCTGGTTAATGTAAATCTTTTCTGAAGAATGGCTAGTATCGGATCTGTTGGTACGGTGTTAACTCCGTATGACGAATACATTTTCATTTTCTTTAAACAAATATAGGCGTAGTTCTCTCGAAAGACTTCTACGGAACGATTCCCAGCTTCTTTCTCCGAAAAGTTATTGTTGAACTGCCTAAACAAGTTTTGCAGCGATTTTCAATTGCGTCTCACTCATTTAATATAAACCACCGATTCATAATTTCTTGTCAATTGCCACACCCCAATCGTCTCTTTGAACGCCATATACCAACATTTGTCTAATTTTGTCAAGCAAAGGTACTTTTGTGAAATAAAAATTTAAAAAGTAT